AAGAATCACTTGAACCCAAGAGGCAGAGGTTGCAGTGAGCCGAGATCACACCACTGCACTCCAGCCCAGGCAACAGAGTGAGATTGTCTCAAAAAAAAAAAGGAGGGAGTTGGATCCTTGGGGAGTTGGATGTTGCAGACTGGTCTCCAGAGCCTGGGGGCATGGTGAGTGGGTGATCCTGGGGGCTGAGGCTGCTCCTCGAGGGTCCCCCAGGCTCTCCATACAGGAAGAGGCGGTGCTGGGAAGTGGGGATGAGGCCTGAAATTCAATACCATGTGGGTTGAGCTATGATGTCATCTGACACCTTCTCCCAGAGTTGCATCTACCCCAAGGAAGGAGCAAATTTTTCTTTGCTGGGCATCTGGGGGGCTGTCTAGCTGGAGCTGCGTTTTTGTTTAAGCAGTTTGTTCTTACTTAGATTGGGTTTATCTTGGGGTGGTCTTGGGCAGACTGAGGGAGACTGGAAGGCAGAAACCACCCCCTTAGAGCCACCATGTGGATCCCCTTAGGGTCTGGGTAGTGGAACTGGGCCCTGTGACCTTGGAGTTGGAGGGGAAGCTGTATGCAGGGATGGAACCGGCTGTGACCAACTCCCGTGCCTCGAGTCCTATACTCCGGCACATTCCTACTGGCACCACCCCAATTTCCCAAAAGAGTCCAGGGATCTCTTTTTTTTTTTTTTTTTTAATTTCACAGTCTTTCTATGTCCGGCTGGAGTAGTGCAGTGGCACATCTTGGCTTGCTGCAACCTCTGCCCCCCAAGTTCAAGTGATTCTCCCGTCTTGGCCTTCCGAGTAGCTGGGATTACAGGCGTGCGCCACGACGCCCGGCTAATTTTTGTATTTTTAGGAGACAGGGTTTTGCCATGTTGGCCAAGCTGATCTCGAACTCCTGACCTCAAGTGATCCTCCCGCCGTGCCTTCCCAAAGCGCTGGGACTAGAGGCATGAGCCACCAGGCCTGGCCATTCAGGGAATCTCTTCTTTGCCCGGCCTGGCTCTCTTCCACCCATCAGTCCCCACTCGGCTTCCCCATCTTTGGGTTCCTTCCTCCCAGTCTCAGGTACCCTGCCCCACACATCTACTGAATGAGCTTAGTGTTGGGGCCAGCGGGGTGGCTGGGTAAGGCTGGACCCCAGTCTTGTCAGGCCAGGCTGGGGTAGGGGAGGATGCGCCGGGGACCCATCTCCCAGCCGTTCTAGGCCAGTGCGCCAGGCGATCTGCCCGGTCGCCCGCCCTTCCGCCACCACCCGGGCCGCAAGCATGCGCCGGGGCCGACGGGTGCCAGGCTCCACCGAGCCACCCGCGATCGTGGCGACTCCTCGCACCTCTGCGGAGGGAAGGCCACCAGCTTCGCCAGGGGGCGTGCGTCGGTGTCGCGGCTCTTTGAACTCGGCCCAGCGAGGCCGCGGGGGGATGCGCAGTCGGTCTCGTGGCTTGCGTGGCGCTGCAGAAACGAGCCCGTGGCCGCAGAGCGTTGGTTAGTCCGGGCCTCGCTGAGGGTCGGTGGGCAGGTCGGGGGGTGCTCCCTTGGCCAGGCGGGTGGAGGGAGGTGTGGGAGCCGCGTTCCAGCGTCGCGGGGCCTCCGGACGCGGGCGGGCGGCGCAGCGGCCTAGTCCCGGCATCCCAGCGTTGCAGCCTCCCGCCGGCGCCGAACCGGTTCAGCCGCGCAGCTGCAGTGACACCCAGCGGCCGAAGCGGGAAGTGCGGGCGCCGCGGACTGGCCTCTCCGGGGCTCGGGTTTCTCGAGGTTCCCACCCGTGGTTATGCGCGGACACCCCGGAGGAGAGCGGCCGCGCGCTGCAGATGCCCGCAGGCACTTCCCCTCCCCCTCCCCCATTTCCTCCCTGGCAGGCGCCCGAGTGCGGGGAGATCCTGCGCGGCGGCAGTGCCCGGAAGGGCGGGGCGGGGCGCAGCGGCGGCGCTGGGCTGTGACCCGGACGGTTTCACTTCTGGATCCCGTTCGGGCTGTGATGGGACAGCGTGGGGGCGGCAGGGGGACACGCGGGCACGCCGAGATCCGGCGCTCGGGACCCTGATGAGGGGAGGCGTTTTCCTCTCAGGGTGTCAGGCGACCCACGCTTTCCTCCATGTCCACCCCATCCCCTCTGGGTTCCACTTTGCTGTCCCCAGAGCTGCCCTCCTCCCCAGCAGCCACCACCTCCGCTGGGGCTGCCGACCCCCGGGGAGGCCCCGAGCGGCGTGGGCGGCGGGAGGAGCGAGCTGTGAAGCCGCAGGCAGGGGCTTAGGCTGCGGGCTGCTGAGACGCCGAGCTGTTTCTCAGAAGTGCAGCTGCCCCTCCCCTCACACCCCCCTCACTCCCACCGCGCGCCGCACCCCTGCCCCATCTCCGCCGGCCTCGCTTTCCACTCCCAGGCACCCCGGCCGGCCGGGAATCTGGGGTTGGGGTCTACGCAGAATTTAGAGGAGAACCTGAGAAAGGGCCTGGGATTCAGACCCAGCCTCACCAGGCATATTCTGAGCCTCCTACAGATGTCCCCTACCCCTGGGGGCCAGGATTGGAATTTGATAGAGCAGTTAGGAAAGTGACTTCTTGAGAGGGTCATGGGCAGGGCCACTGTTACTGTAACTCCAGTGCCCAGTGAGGAGAGGAGGGAGAGGGAAGGCCTGGAGCCCGGCTGCTACAGTGAGGTTGAGGCCAGTCTTAGGAGTACCAGCCGGAAGGCCCTTCAGAGATCCCTGACTCCGGAGAAAATCAGCACTCAGAAGGGAAAGTCAAGTGTCTGGGCTCATCCTGAGAGCTGCAGAGCTGGGATTGGAACCAGGACTCTATAGATACTCGCAGGAGTCTGCACCCGGCTGCCTTTTGCTTGGGAATTAAGAGCTTTGCTGGATTCACTGACTCTGCCAGCTTTACCCCAACACACACAAGACACGTGCACGAGCACACGGACACATACGCACACACGAGATATGTGCACACGCACACACAGACAGACACAGACATTCAGAGAGAGACAGGTGCACATGGAGACAGACATGCACTCGCAAAGAGACACACAGCTCCCCAGGAGTCTAGTGGGGCAGCTGAGGTCTGTGAGTGAGACATTCTCAGTGAGTTACTGAGAATGCAATTCCAGTGGGGGTGAGATGGGGATTGGGGGGTGGAAGGACAAGCCCGGGGGAGGAGGTGGCATCGCCCCCCTAGTTCCCATCCACCGCCACCCCCAGGGCTGTGGTTTATTTGCCTAGGCAGCTCTTCTGGGCCAGGGGGCCAGGGGACTGGGGTGGAGAGGTGAGGTGATGGGAAAGGCTGTTTCGGGGCTTCCTGCCCCCTCACTCCTGGGGAAGGGGGGCAGCTGACATCACCCGCAGGCCTTTCCACTGCAGCCCTTTCCTTGGGTATGTGTGTGTTATTCTGGGGGAAGGTCTGTATTTGGGGTGAAGGGAGGCAGCTGCCTACTTCACAGGTCAAGACAGAGTTAAAAAAACCACAGCAAATTCAACACCCCGTGTCCTTCAGGGACTTTCCATGACACCTTCCTTCCCCCATCTCCCCCAAGCCAGGGAGCACCTCCCCAGAGGGCCTCCCCACCCCAGGTGCAGTGGCTTTTGGCTTCTATGCAAACAACCGTCTGATCCCGGAATGCTCCACAGCTGGAACTGTGGCCTGGACCAAATGTGCCCCTCCACCATCCCTCAGGCCAGTGTTTGTGGTCTTCTGGGAGCTGTCACCTCCACTCTCCCTCAGACCCTGGATTCTGAGGGACAGAAGACCATGGCATGGGAGCTAGGTCCTTTCCCCCTGCCTGCCCTCAGATGGCAGTTGCCTGCAGGTGGAGGTTTGGACACAGCAGCCTAAGTGAATGGCCTGGGTTTTGTGTGATGGGGGAGGGGGGAGAGGAGGGTGCAGATGTGGGGTGGCCTTCACTGCCAGGCCCACCCACCACTCTCTAGGGCATTGAATCAGCTCCCAAGGATCAGGAAGAAAAACTCTTCTCAGGCCAGGAGTCCATTTGGCCCCAAGGCCACTGCACAGTGGCAAAGGGGGTCAGGGTCTCACTGTCTCCCTGTCTTCTGCCTGAGCTGCTTCTGGCTTTGGAAAGGGTTTGGGGATGGGAAAGGCCATATAATCCTCTCTCCAGGGCTGAAAACCAGCTACTGAGGGGCCATTTTTGAATGTATTCAGTGCTAAAATGCAAAGGCAGGCTGCCATGACATTCCTTTCTCCTCCTCAGCTTGAGCAAGCCTGGGAAACCCCTCAGCCTTCTGGGACAGTTTGGGGTACTGATGGGAGGGAGATGGTGCTGATCATAAAGCCAGAGGATGCTGCTGCCAGCCTGGTCCCACATTGCTAGTCCTAAACTTCAGACCATCTTTGTCGTGCCTCTTCCACAGAAGAGGGAAAATGGAGGGTGCTTTAGAAGAGGCCGAACAGGAGGCCAGACACTCCCTCTACCTTCTCTAATGTTTTCTAAGAGAGAACGCAATCATGAGATGGGGAGAAAGCAGCCCATCCCTATGCTACTCTTCCAGGACTTTTCCCCCCAACACCTTGGGTTTGGGTCTCCAGGTTTCTAAACACTGTATATAAATAGAGTCGAGTTGAAGGACTGCAACTCAAGTTTCCCAATGTGGAGGTCTATGAGCCCCAGACATGAAAAAGTCGGAACTTGACTGTATTTGAAGAAGAATCTGTTGAGGGAGGAGGGCAGAGCAGTGGCTTGGAAGAGGGGTGCACCGTGCTGAATGTGTTTGTTGATCATGCTAAGTCCAGGTCCCCAACCTCCTCCAGTTTCCTTAATGAATTAAGGACCAGTGGGACCAGAAACCCCATCATGTGGGTTCAGGGGCCAGCGGCAGCATCCTAGTGGTAGGCTCAGCAAGGCGTCATCCTTATTTCAGTGATAATTCATTGTTCTTGATAACTGGACTTTAAGAAATAGAGGAGCAAAATTAAGAAAGTATTCCTTGGGGTGGGAGGAAACCCTCCTCATCCTGCCAGCAGCAGCTACAAATGATAAGGATGCACAAGAACTCATTTCAAACATACCAGGATTTTTTTATTTTTCAGTGTAAAAATCAAGCATGATAAATGTAGAAAACTATCAGCAGGGCTACTTCTTACAGGGTTCTGGCAAGGGCTAGCATTGCTACATTTCAGAAGCTGACTTTCTTTAAACCATCTTTACAAAGGAGTAAACTTCACAGTGCTACACATGGTCAGACTCCAGGTAGAACTCCATAGGAGTGACAAGGGAAAGTCATTACTGGGCAGGGAGGGCACTTCTGAGAAACGAAGATGAGAGGAGAGGCTGTGAGCACAGGCTGTGTCAAAACGCAGGGCAAGGGCTCCCTCCCGCTTTCCTTCCCAATGGGAAGGCCACCCTGAGCCCCAAACCGCATTCTGTTCCTCTCTCGTCATTCTGCAGACAATGGTCATCCACAGACCACATGTGTGGTGGCTCTGGAAACCAGAAATTTAAAATAAGCTATGGTTTTTCCAGTAGCCAAAATGATCCTGCAACAAAGCTCATAGACAGAACCTGAGCATGCAAAACCACAGTCTGGGGAAGGGATGTCTGCTTTGTAAATGACCTGCTAATTCTTTGCAACCCACAGTAATTTGGTTTTTGTGAACCCACAGAAGCAGGCCCACCAAAAAGGGCCTTGTCTGCTAGCCTGGAGTATACATGAGTCACTGGTGGTGGGATCAGTCATTTTTAAGGCTGCCCCATTTTCCTAACATTTTAAAACATGTGTTCTCAGTCTTTTCAAGAGAGGAAGAAGCAAAGCTGCACTTACATTCAGAGTGTGAAATAGAACTCATAGATGTGTGGCAAGGGCTTGGGGAAGGTGGGTGGCATCTTGGGACTCATCTCTAGGTTTTCTGGAGTAGGGTCCATGGAGAGATGAACAGTGAGAACCACTTGAAGAAGCTCAAGTTCCACGGGGGAACTAACGGTTGAGGACTCACAGACAGTGAGGGAGCAAAGCACTTTGATTTCCCTGGGTGCGACACCATGAAGTGTCTGCAGCACGTGGTTAGCTCACATTGGTTCCAAGGGTCAGCAGATCTGCCCTTGTGCATTAAAACAACATGAAAGAAACTGTGTTAGAGATCAGTTACCTCCATAATTCATTTGTCAAGGAATTACTATTATGATCTAGTATGGTCTTTGGATATTTTTCATGTCTTTAAATTTAGGTCATGGTACATACAGTGGAAAATTTACAACGATCCCACATAATCCACACACCTCTCAAAGGTAACATTAGCTCTCATACAAAATTATGGAAAACCTCACAACATCCTTGGAAGGTATATTCTTACAAAAATTTAATATACTCATTAACATTCCTATTTCAAATAGCTCAATCACTATCAACACATAAGACAGTCCACTCTGGTAATACAGTATTAAGAAGAAACTCAGTCTGGCCGCAGAGGCTCATGCCTGTAACCCCAAAGTGTTGGAGGCTGAGGTGGGTAGACTACTTGAGGCCAGGAATTCAAGACCAGCCTGGGCAATATGGGGAGACCCAGTCTCTACCAAAGGTACAAAAATTAGCGGGTGTGGTGGTGCATGGCTGTAGTCTCAGCTAGTTGGGAGGCTGAGACTGGAGGATCGCTCGTTGCTTGAGCCCAGGAGGTTGAGGCTGCAAGTGAGCCATGACTGCGCCACTGCACTCAGCCTGGGCAACAGATCAAGGCTTTGTCTCAAAAAAAAAAAAAAAAAGGAAACTTGCATCCAGTTTCTTCAAAGTGCAAAAACCTGTGTATCTTGACAACGCTGGTGGGGCACAGACTATCTACAGCTGGGGCGAGGGAGAAGCGCAGTCTTATGTTATTTTACAAGCTTTCAGAAATTCAAAGCCCACAATCCTCCTTCAGGCTCTTCTGAGTCCACAGTCCTAATGGGTCAGGAGTCCCAACCCTGGGCTCATTCTCAGAACCATTCAGTCGTGCAGCCTTGGAGAATAGAGTCCTTTTGCTGAGACGGCCCAGGTCCAGCCGTGGGTTTCAGATCAAAATTGTCCTCCTTTATCATCACTTATATCCCAGATCATTCTCCTTGTCTGACCTCTGGATATAGAGGTTTTTTGAACTATACTTTCTGTGTGAACACAAAAATAGTTTCCAATTCTCTAAAAGATGAGGTATCACTCTATGTCTTTTTTTTCTTCTGTTCCTGGTGCTAACTTTTAGGACAAAGTTTCACCACTCCCTTTTCTTCTTCCTTCTTGAGCTCACAAGTCCCAGTGCTGGGGCTTTGAGTCCTCAGATGGCCAACTTCTTTCACAAATCTTGAGTGTCCCAGAGTTTCCAAATCTCTGCTAGAGTCCAACATGCCTCCTTTCAGTGGGGTACGCTTTAAAATGAGGACTTTATTTTATTTTTGAGATGGAGTTTCACTGTTGTTACCCAGACTGGAGTGCAATGGCACGATCTTGGCTCACCGCAACCTCCGCCTTCTGGGTTCAAGCAATTCTCCTGCCTCAGCCTCCCGAGTAGCTGGGACTACAGGCATGCACCACCATGCCCAGCTAATTTTTGTATTTTTAGTAGAGATGGGGTTTCACATTGTTGACCAGGATGGTCTCGATCTCTTGATCCACCTGCTTCGGCCTCCCAAAGTGCTGGGATTATAGGTGTGAGCCACTGAAAATGAGGACTTTAAAGAAACAGTTCCATTGTGGTCTTACCACCTGGGATTATATATAACAGAAGTACTGCTTTTTTTCCTTAAAACTTTTTTTTTTTTCCTTAAGACGGAGTCTCACTCTGTTGCCCAGGCTGGAATGTAGTGGTGCAATCTCGGCTCACTGCTTCCTCTACCTCCTGGGATCGAGTGATTCTCCCACCTCAGCCTCCTGAGTAGCTGTGATTACAGGCGCGCACCACCGTGCCTGGCTAATTTTTGTATTTTTAGTAGAGACGGGATTTCACCATGTTGGTCAGGCTGGTCTCGAACTCCTGACCTCGTGATCTGCCTGCCTCAGCCTCCCAAAGTGCTGGGATTACAGGCATGAGCCACCGTGCCAGGCCCTCCTTAAAACATTCTAAACCTCACATTCAATAGGGGGTGGGGGGGGCAGGAAATAGGAGAATAATAGTCATACAGATGTTACCCGGAAAAACTTTATGTTCTGTCTGTTCCTCATGGAACAAAGCCAAAAAGGAAAACTTTATGTTGATGTGAGATTTGACACAGTGTTTCAACTGAGCAAAATTTTGTGTTTTTAAACATTTCTGTTTGCCAAAGGAATCTGGCTGTGGCTGGGCTCAGTGGCTCTCGCCTGTAACCCCAGCACTTTGGGAGGCTGAGGTTGGTGGATTGCTTGAGCCCAGGGGTTCAAGACCAGCCTACGCAGCATGGTGAAACAACATCTCTGCAAAAAAGTACAAAAAAATTAGCTGTGCCTGGTGGCATGCCTATAGTCCCAACTACTTGGGAGGCTGAGGTGGGAGGATTGTTTGAGTGAGCCTAGGAGGTCAAAATCTGAGGTTATTTTCTATCTGGACCATTTTGAGTATGGGCCTAACAAAATGTTAAGCACTGCATTTAAAAGGTAAAAAGTGTTGTCACTGACAAAGTGAGAAGCTGTGTCAGGAACGGCTTAGAATGAGTCACAAAGCGCAAGATTAGCTGGCTTATCGGAGCCAAGGCAAATGTCTTTTTGGGGAAAGATTTCAGAAATCTAAAGACTGATGAGTTCATTCTCTCTTTTTTTTCCTAGTAGTGGTGGTGGGGGTTCATGGGAGAGACACTTCTAGTTCTCTCTCCATAGAAAGTACCGATGCAACACTTCAAACAGTGACCAAAAACATTTGGAAAGGTGGGTACAGTTTGTGCCTGCCTGTAATTCCAGCTACTTGGGAGGCTGAGGCAGGAGGATTTCTTGAGCACAGAGTTTGAGTCTGGCCTACACAACATAGTGAGACCCTGTCCTCTAAAATATATATATATATATATATATATATATATATATATATTTAATACACTTGGAGCATTTGTTCTGTTTCTTTTCCACCCTCAGCCCAATTCTGTCACCTTGGCTGCAAGGAAACTTTTCATGGGTTTGGCTGTTCCTCAGATCATGGCCTCCTGGGTGTATGGTGGAAGGCTGGTGGGAAATGAAGCAGAGGGGCTAGGCGGCTTGTGTTCAGAGGGAGTCTGCATGAGAAACTACAGGTCCTGCCTGGCACTGCTCCAGGGCTTCAGTGCCCAGCAATGGCAGATGCTTGAACTCAGGAGGGAGAGGTTGCAGTGAGCTGAGATCATGACACTGCACTTCAGCCTGGGCCACAGAGCAAGACTCTGTCTCAAAAAAAAAAAAAAAGTTGGTCTCCTCTGCAAAGACTTGAACACTAATCTGATGGAAAGGCTTCCTTTCCCTAGTTTTCTCTTTTACTAATCCCTGCCTCCAAATTCTCTTTCTCTTGTCCCCTGAAGAACCAACAGGATGTGTGATATTTCAAGAACATAATGAGCAACTCCTCTTTCACAATGGGAATAAGCAATCTGGCATAGCTTGGAGTCTAGTATTACGGAAATACAGTGATATATTGAAGACTACACACCAAAATACATCCATTCCTTTAGCTGAAATCTCAAACATGTTGGGACTGTTGCCATGGAATTTCATAAAACCCTTTTTCCTGAGACAGACGCCATGCCACAAAGAAGGATAAGCTATTTGTGCAGTCTGAGGTGGAGCATTTTAATTACTGGCAGCACACGGCCGAGTTGAGTTTGAGCCGAATGCATAAGCCCTTTAGAAATAAAACACTAATCTACCAGGAATTTGGGATTCTTGGCTCTGGTAGAAATGTTCACAAAGCTGACTCTTAATTTGTAAACAGGCTCCATGAAGTTGTCTCTGGAAGCAGAATTTATTTTCCCTAACATAATTTCTTAAAAAGGAAAAAAAAAAGGCTTTGGTAAACAGCTGCATTTGCCAATTTGTGTGTACGCTTTGGGGCAAGATCAAAATACCTTTGTTTTTTTTCCTCTCCACCACCTTCTTCCCATTCACAACTCAGTGATTAAAGGAAAAACTTAACACACCATTTTCATACCAAAGGAATGTGAAGCACGTATTCATATAAATACTCCTCTGCTTAATATATTCATACATTAGGAGGTTTAAACAATAACCTGTGGTTACTGCGTAATCACATAATAATTTAAAGCTAGAAGGGACCTACGAGAACATTTAAATCCAATTCCTATTTTACAAATGAGGAAACTGAGGTTTTTTGTTTTTTTTTTGAGACAGGGTCTCACTCTGTCACCCAGACTGGAGTGTAGCAGGGCCATCTCCGCTCACTGAAACCTCTGCCTCCCAGATTCTCCTGTCTCAGCCTCCCAAATAGCTGGGATTACAGGCATATGCCATTACTGCCTAGTTAATTTTTGTATTTTTAGTAAAGACAGGGTTTTACCATGTGGGCCAGGCTGGTCTCAAACTCTTGACCTCAAACGATGTGCCCACCTCAGCTTCTCAAAGTGTTGGAATTACAGGTGTGAGCCACTGAGCCTGGCAGGAAATGAAGTTTCAAGAGTTAAATGAGGCTGGGTGCGGTCGCTCACACCTGTAATCCCAGCACTTAAGGAGGCTGAGGCAGGCTGATTGCTTGGGCCCAGGAGTTCAAGACCAGCAGCATGGGCAACATAGTGAGACCCCTGTCTCTACAAAAGGTACAAAAATTATCCAGACATGATGGTGCATGCCTGTAGTCCCAGTACTCAAGAGGCTGAGGTGGGAGGATCACCTGAGCCTGGGGAGGTCAAGGCTGCAGTGAGCCATGATTGCACCACTGCACTCCAGCCTGGGCAACAGAGTGAGATCCTGTCTAAAAAAAAAATTAAATGATTTACTCAAAGTCACATAGCTAATTAGCAGATTTTGTGACTCCCTATTCCAGTGCTAATTTTACAATGATAATAGCACTCCTCCTGATAGTATGTCCACATTGTGAGGGGCAAGGATGACTTATACATTTGTCAAACTGTGATCAGACTTTCAGGAATTTTCATGGAATACAGCAGTTCCATTTAAATAGGTAGAAATGGGCCAAAGCCTGCCTGATCAAGGAGGGCCTGTCAGTAGAGGTGTCCCTCTTCACCCCATCCTGGAGCTCAGCTCCGATCTGAACACACATGGCGTCTATCTCCAATTCCTCTCCTGTGGGTGGGGGGGAGGCTAAGCCACACTTTTTTTTTTTTTTTTTAATGGAAAAAAATCACTGGTAAATTGGTTTTGGGTCTGTATTACCAATTCTCCATGAACTCTTTCAGGAACTTTTAGGTAGCTGTTTTTTTGTTTGTTTGTTTGTTTGTTTTGTTTTTTTTTTTTCTTTGCCAATCAGTTTGAGCTTATGAGGTTGCTCAGGTTAGCCTTGAACTGATGACCTCGCCTTCGCAAGCGCCATGACCTCCGGCGGGAGCCACTTTGGACCCCGAGCCGTTTTTTTTTTCTATTGGTGCTGCCAAACCATTTCCCCCTTTGTCATACACTTGTTCTTCCAACCTTGACCAAAGGAAAGGGATGCCATTTATCCGCAGTGGACAACCTTCTGGAGTTTCAACGATGGTCTATATTTAAAACCATCAGTTCTTCTGGCATAGATTTTCTCCTGTAGACAATTGGTTTAGCCCAAAGCAGCTCAGCTTTTCACTGGAGATGGGAGGGTAAAGGGTAGAAGCAGAAGTGCCATTAGATGACATGTTAAAATAATGTGATAGGAAATGAATCTGATGCTTGGAGAATGGGGTCTTCAGTTAACTCGTAACAGATACTTAGTTTATGGCTGTTCTTTTTCTTGCTCTTAGCCTGTCATTTAGATGAGGGAGATTACATCCTAACCCTTCAGCCCATGAAGAAGTACAGAAGGGTGAGGATCCCAACAAGGTCAGCTGGTCAGCTCTTCCTCTTTGTGGATTTGCACATATGACTGAAAAGCTTTTCCATATATGGTTGATATATCTTAGAAACAATGTCTCATGTAACACATCTCCGGGACTGCTCATTCTATTGCTGTAGAAGATAATGACCAAATACGTTTTTGGCTTTTAAATTCCATAAAATTCAAGTCCCTGATGGGAAGACAAAGGTTTCACAAAAGTAAATAATGTGCTGGATCTGTGAATAATTTCTGAAGGAAGACAGTGTAGCTCTGGCTCCCCATGTGAACACAGCTAAAAATGGTATGAAAAGGAGTCTGGAAGTGAGTATGTTTTGAGAGCAATCTGTTAGGTGAGGTTATCGATTTTTAGAAATGATATTGAACACTTAGGGGCATTCTCTGAGACAAGATATTCACTTCAGCAGGGCTCTGTGTTCTCCTCTGGCTATGTGAGACGAGAACTCATATCGATCATGGCTTCGATATCCACACATGTTACACTCGAAAGGGTCACGGAAACCGTGGCAGCCCATGTGAATGGTGAACATCACATAGTCCAGGAAGAGGATGCGGCAGTGGTCACACCGATACACATCCATCACCTCCCCTTCTTTGTTGATCACTTTGATGGAGTCTCTTGGGCAGATTGGGGGGGGCTTGAGGAGTTCATAAGAGCGGGGGGCCTCCTTCAGAAGTGGCATCCCGTTGCGGGCCCGAGGAAGGACCATGTGATTTTGCTGATATATGTGATTCTGGCGTTCTTCATGGTTGCTGTCAGTATCTGTGGAGTCGTGGCCACTATTGTTGGGGGAGAGGCCTCTTTCAGAAGGCACACTCTTCTCTGGAAGGTGGATGCTTTTCTTTTCCAGCTCCTGAGGGGTACCGTTTGGCATCTCAGCCCGGGTGAGGGCTATGGGATACATGCTGCTAATAACTGGAACCATCTCGGAGGTGGGAGCAGGTGGTGTCTGGACCAAGGGGCGCAGGGCTTCAGCACCAAGATAGCTGATGGCATTATTGATGGCTTGGTCCATCATGCGGGTCTGTATGATCTCACTCTCTTTCTCATACATATAGCTCGAATTATAGTTGACGTCAAAGCAGTGGCGCTTCTCACCTGGAACAAGTGACAGAAAAGGTTACAAAGGGAACACTGCCGAGGCAGAGAGTATGTAAATATTTTCTAGAGACTTCAAAAAGGGAGGAAAGTTAAGTTGCCTGCTGGTTCCCCATGGTGCTGAAGTCTCAGGGGATGCTGGTCGGCAGCACCTTGTTTGGATGGTTAAAATAAAGCCAGCAGGCAGAAGGGAGGGGCAGAGATGTGGTTCAGTTGAGGCCATGTGGTAAGGTCGGCCCACTGTGCATGTCAGAGGGGAGCCCTCAACGAAGGAGGGAAAGAAGCAGGACACTAGGATGGGGCTAGAGGGACAAGGGAGCTACCAGCCTGTGGGAGTCTAGGGCTTCTGCCATAGTTCGTGATCTCTTAAGACACAGTCAACTCCCAACTCTTATTTTGTTTGTTATTTTCTGCTTGCAATATTAGGTAGCCTGGGGGACGGAAATGCTGCAAAGAGTTGGGACACTCAGTGACTCACCTCAGCAGCTTTTTAAATAGCTGCAGAGACAGAGAAAGTAGCCCCCCAGACTCCAACTGGCTACTCCCCGGACTCACCAGTCCTAGCTGACTGAAACTGAAGTGAAAGAACTTCAAATGTGGAAATTTATAGAAAAGCTTTTTTGAGAAGAGATCATGGTCTTTGTCCCTTTCCTAAAGTGTGTTTCTCTTCCTGTGCTTGGCAAGTATGTCTCTGATACACACGTGATCATTAGGGCCTATCTCACACTTAACTGAAAAAATATACTTGTGGTCACCCCCTTCTTCTCATGTCAAACTGCTGAGAAGTTTTGAAAACAGTGTTTAGCCACTGTCGGGGCTTGTGGGTGTTGTGTGTTAGAAAACAGAGGCTCTCTGGTCACAGGGAAGTCAGGGATGGGGACTGCAGTGAGGGCAGATGTGCTCAGTGGTGAGGGGTGGGGAGAGGGGAGAGAAAGCTAGGAAGGCGAGCTGAGTGCTGGAGGTGAGGCTGAGGTCACTGCTGATCCTTTCCATTCTGTCAGCTTGGATTCTGGAGAGATTTGCTAAACCATGTCCTTCTGTAATGTTTCCTAGGCATGTTGAGATTCCAAAATTTGTCACTGCCATACAGCAATGAAATAAAAAAGAAAAAAAATGAGAAAACAAAAGGATTGAAAGGACCAGTTCCTGTTCTGGAGGTATCTCCAACTTAGTGGATGAAAAATAAGACCTATGTATATGGAAGTGGAGAAAAAGTATAAGTTAAAAGTTGACTGGGTGCGGTGGCTTATGCCTGTAATCCTAGCACTTTGGGAGGCTGAGGCAGGAGGATCACTTGAGCCCAGGAGTTTAAGACCAGCCCAGGCAACATAGAGAAAGCTCGTCTCTACAAAAAAAAAAAAATACAAAAATTAGCCGGGCACCTGTAGTTCCAGCTACTCAGGAGGCTGAGGTGGGAGGATCACCTGAGCCTGGGATGCAGAGGTTGCAGTGAGCTGAAATGGTGCCACTGCACTCCAGCTTGGGTGGTAGAGTGAGACCCTGTCTCAAAAAAAAAAAAAAAAAAAAAAAAAGAAGAAGTTGTAAAAGGACTGCTTTGCTCTATGGAGGTCTTTGCTTTTATTCTAAATGCCCACATTTGAGGCATTTAGGCAGGAAAGTAACATGTTCTGTAAAAAGAATAATAAGTGACATATAGGCACTGGCAAGACAATTTGGTATAAACTGTATATTTGGGCATTAAGGGAATGCAGAAACTTCAGAAGTACTTGGGGAAGGGAATGCATTCTTGGAAAATCTAAATTTTGAGAAGGGTCTTGATGAACTGGTAGGATTTAGATTTTCAGAGAAGTGGGAGAGGACATCCTAGTTAAGGGGAGTGCAGGAATGAAGGCAGAGAGGCAGGCCTACATGGAACATGCACAGTAAGAGTCTGATTGAAACTAGATCAAGAAGTATGAAACACAGGATTTCCCAGGCTTCACTCTGCTTTCCTATTTGGCAATATCTACACACCAGTGCGGTATGGTGGTTAAGAAAACAAACTCTGGAGTCAGATGGGCTGGGTTTGATGCTGGCTCCATTGGTCACCGGTTGTGTGACCTTGGGCAAGTCACTTAACCTGTCCTCATGTAAAGTGAAGATAATAATTGTATCTCTGTTCTGTGTCCTCACGTAAAGTGAAGCTAATAATTGTATCTCCCTCACAGGGTCGCTGGAAAGCGCTTAGAACAGGTCCTGCCACATGGAAAACACTTGGTAAGTGCTTGGATTTTTTCTTTGTTTGATTTGGTTCACTTTTTTTTCTAAAATAAATGTGGTTTTTAAGGAAACTTTATATCACTAACATAAATGGAAAACCAGAATCACTTATTTTTCGAGTAGAAGGTAACTATGAAAAATAAAGACAATCAAACAGAGCATTGGCCGGGCACAGTGGCTCAAGGCTGTAATCCCAGCACTTTGGAAGGCCGGGGAGGGAGGAACACCTGAGGTCGAGAGTTCTAGACCAGCCTGACCAACATGGTAAAACCCTGTCTCTACTAAAAATACAAAATTAGCTGGGTGTGGTGGCACATGCCTGTAATCCCAGCTACTCAGGAGGCTGAGGCAGGAGAATTGCTTGAACCTGGGAGGAGAAGGTTATGGTGAGCCGAGATTGTGCCTGGGCAACAAGAGCAAAACTCCATCTCAAAAAAAAAAAAAAAAGAAATGGAGCATTTCATAACATTTTGATCAGATACTACTGTGAGTACTTGGAGACTAAGATCCCATTACCCTTTGTTAAAAACAGAGATTACCAATGGTGAGACTAGTGTTAAAGATAGCTGGTATCAAATTAAGTCTAAATCTTTCTCTTTAGTATAATCTGGGAGACTGAAAGATAACTGGAAAGAAAATAATTGTCCTGCTGTGTGGACCCAGGTTTTTCAATGGCACCGTGTGCCTGCTGGCAATTTGCATCCTACATTTGGGGAAACACTGAAAAAAGATAATGCATGGTAGGACCAAATGATGGGCATTCCAAATGGCTCACTGTAGGGTTTGAATTTGAACAAAGAGCCGAGGCTACCTGCCCTTGAAAAAGACAGGCTTGTGGTTAACGTAACAGTAATGTGTAAGGCAGACCAGAACAGTGAGAAATTGGAGTCAGAAGAACCAGCTATAGAACAAATTCCTATGAGATGAATTTGTCCTTGCATCCCCCCCAAGCAGCTGACCTTAAGGCCAACCTGATAGTTTCTAAACAAATACCTGAGAGAAAAAAATATATATGCAAAGGAAAACACCTGTCTTGGAAACTCAATAAGAAGCAACAGCAGAGTAGACTTTGGTCAAAGTAATCAATGGGTTTTATTTTCAATTTCCAGATTGGATATATCTTTGGTCAAGGCCATCTGGAAGACTTGGAACATGAAAGCCAGCTAAGGTCACAGACACCCATTCCCTAGAATGTGACACAGAAATGATGAACTTTAGTTTCTTGGCCCTTTTAAGATTATTGGTGATTTTACAGTGTGGCCACCTCTGTTCAAGTCCCTAAAAACCAGAGGTCCTTGAGAAACTTTTCACCTAACAGAGAGGCTCCAGAAGGCTTCTGGGTGGGGTAGGCACATCACAAACTCTGCTTTTATCTTTTCTCCCAAGAGTTTGCTTTACTTAATGAATTGCCTACAATTTCGTAATCTATACCACCTGCAGTGTATGTCAGAAAACAGCTGAGTGCTAAAATTGTAAAAGGCAAAACATTAAGAGGAAAATAAACCCTTGGATGAGTGGAAATATGTGACTAAATTCTGTAGTTAACACAGACCATTGTTCATTGTTAAGGAGATGGGGCAACCTCAGATGTTCACGTGCATGCAGCTTGTAATCATCAGATAGATCCTCTCGTCTGAGTTACGGTAACTTAAGCAGTGCAGATGATTATCAGTCACCTGTAGACACGATGACTCAATGTGTATGAAACTCAGAAAGGGTAAACTACAGTAATTGAAAAGCCAACAGCTCACGTTTCTTTAGTAACACACTCATAAAAAAGGTTAGTCAAACCACAAGAGCGTAACTGCTTCCAAACCTGCACAGAGCATCTGGTCCAGCTTCTAGTCACAATCACATCACACCTTTGAATGATTCATGATACCAGCTTCAGGCTGAATTGGAGGTCTTCTTCCAACAAAAATACACACAGTAATAGCAAGTCCGAAGTTCAGAAACCAAGGCTGCCTGGTTGGGCCGTTCCCTACTTGTGGTTCTTTTTAAAGGTATCAATCTCTCATATCTTGGCTTTGTTAACTCTAAGCAACCACCTGACCTGAACTGATGCAATGTGGTGAGGACACATGGTTGTTGGCTTTTAAGTGCCAACTTGGAAGTACAGAATCACAGGCTAGAGGTAAAAGGGCCCTTAACTGAGTATGTGGATTCAGAACTCTGTAGGGTTGAGGGGCAAGACCCACCACCCTAATATGTTTACTTCTGGTCATTATATTTCACAGTACCTAGCACTGTGCCTTATATACAATAATTCCAATATGATAAGTACTATTTATTGAGCCCCTGCTGTATGCACTGTGCCATCCTAGACACTTTGCATACTGTCTCATTTTACCAGCCTGTTAGGGGTTACTTTTTTTTTTTTTTTGAGACGGAGTCTTGTTCTGTCACCCAGGCTGGAGTGCAATGGCACAATCTCCACTCACTGCAACCTCCATCTCCCGGATTCAAGCGATTCTCCTGCTTCAGCCTCCTGAGTAGCTAGGATTACAGGTGCCTGCCACTATGCGTGGCTAATTTTTGTATGATACCTTTTAAGGTATGAATTATTATCTCTCAGATGAGGAACCTAAAGCACAAACAGGTTGATTCACTTTCCAAGATTGCCCAGTTGGTGAAGAGAGAACCAGATGTAATCCAAGAGCCCACATATCCCAGTATATGTTTGAGTATGAACTGCTGTTGCCCAGCTGCCACCTTGCCCATGGCTGCACAGCCCCACCACCAGCAGTGACTTCAGATTTTCTGTTGCAATGGTTCCCATAGCAGAGGGCAAGGGGGTTTAGTGGCAGTAACTGTTTTTTTCCACATGGACCAGCACACACATTCAAGAAGTATACGCTGCACAGAGTGGGTATGATGTCTATAAAGTGCTTCATGGTGCCAGGCATGTGTAAGCACTCTGTTTTCATGATTTGCTTAGCACAATGTTGGGTGATTTGACGAATACAATAAAATTGCAATCCAATAGAGGAGACGCAGCATTTACATCATTTCATGACAAATTGGTATCCTTAATGGTACATGGTAGAACAAAGCATAGAGTAGCCAAGAGAGTGGAAAGAGAAAACTATGAGCTACTTCTCAAATATGCCACACTTAATATGGGGCAAATATTAATCTATTATTTTCTTCAAAGTCTCCTTGTAATCAAGGTGATGGTTGTGGTGGTGGTGGAGACAGTTATATCTATAAGAAGCAGACTAGTAAACTTGCCTGGGGTGCAGAGAGAGAACATCCGTATGGGAATGCGGATAATGTGCGTTTCTTTTTTTTTTTTTTTTTTTTTGAGACAGGGTCTCACTTGATTGCTCAGGTGGGATTGCAGTGGCATGATCACAGCTCACTGCAGCCTCAACCTCCTGGGTTCAAGTGATACTCCCACCTCAGCCCCCCAGGTACCTGGAACTACAAGGCCCATGCCATCACGCCTGGCTAATTTTTTGATTTTTGTTTGTTTGTCTGTTTTGCCGAGACAGGGTCTTACTGTGTTGCTCAGCATGGTCTCAAACTCCTGAGCTCAAGTGATCCTCCCACCTTAGTCTCCCAAAGTGCTGGGATTACAGGCATAAGCCACTGCGCCCGGCCTACAATGTGTACTTTTAAGGGCAGACGTGAGGGACGGCATTCAGAAAAGAGTGAGATATTACACAGAAGAGGGAGGAGGAGAAGCAAAGGACTGGTTGGCTGAAATGATAAAATTAGAAGAAGTAAGCTGAAGACAGATTGTGGAAGGCTCAGAAGGCCTGACTGAATGGTTTGGATTTTATTCCATTGGGAGTCATTGAAAGGTTTTTTTGAAGAGGGTGGCAAAATGATCGAACCTTTAGAATAACAGAAATCCAATATTTCTGGTAAGGTGAAATGTTCAGGTTTTAAGTCTTAAGGTTCTTCAAGTCACTTAAATGTCTTTGCTGCTTCTCCTGGGAAATGTCATATAATTTCCCAAACATGTTATCGCTCACTCTTACTATCAGCACACATCCATAAGCAAATGAACAAAAAAAGCAGGTAAGTAGAGAAAATGGAATATCCAGTCATCATCATGGCTCTGATCTCAACCTAGGTGAAACTAACACTTCTTGCAGGAGGTGGAAAACAGAGGGGAGCCAGAGTACAAGAAGAAACAGGAAGGAGGGAAGAACAGAGAGAGCTGTGGGGGTGGTGCTGGGGAGAGCTGAGCTGGAGACCACATTTGGTTGCTGCAGAAGTCTTTGTCCTCTGTGAGACACTGGGAAGTGCTATATGGATGTCATCTGTTCTCATGGAGTCACCAGGGAAGACTTCTTTTCTAAAGAGAATCACCCTTGACGGAGAACAATTGCCCTTCTTCAAGGGACTTTTTTCTCCTACCAACTTTCTTTTTTCTTTTTTTTTGAAACAGTCTTGCTTTGTCACCCAGGCTGGTGCAATCTTAGCTTACTACAACCTCTGCCTCCCGGATTCAAGTGATTCTTGTGCCTCAGCCTCCCAAATAGGCGGGATTACAGGCACCCACCACCACACCTGGCTAATTTTTGTATTTTTAGTAGAGATGGGGTTTCACCATATTGGCCAAGGCTGGTCTTGAACTCCTGACCTCAAGTGATCCACCTGCCTTGGGCTCCCAAAGTGCTGGGATTACAAGTGTGAGTCACTGCACCTGGCCTCTCCCACCAACTTTCAACGACCAGACTCCTCGCTTTCAAAACTCCCCATATGACATGCACTGCTCTTGATCACCTCCTGGGGAAGGAAGGGCCTGGACTGCAGCGCTTATAGGCCAAGGTCTGGCACTGCTCTGTCGCCTGCCAGCTGTGTCGCTCCACCTCTCTGATTCTCCTTCCTTCCATGGTGAAAGAGCCTCACTGGTGGTTCCTAATATCCCTAAAATGCTATGACATTATAATGCTTATGGGATTATGGACTTTAGGCCTTCGGGAAGGGGTTGGAAAAACACGTTTTTCTTTTAGAAACAGGTATTAAAACTGCTTCCTGTTGCTGTTAACCAAAGCAGGCAATTTCTCATTAGTTACCTCACAGGGAGAACCGATGGTTTGTTGAAGTGTCAAAACCTCATTAACATGTTTACCACAGGTGAGTGAGATCTTTTTTTAATGTTCTTTTCAATATGAAAACTTCCTTTAATAAAGTAATACATAAAACTTTTAAAATAAGGAGATGCTATGGTAACCACTTTGGTCTGAATAACATCTGTTTTTTTGGGAAAGAATAAAAATCAGGAGAAATATGCAGAAATGTAGTCATTTTTCTTCTCCATCCAAGAGAGAAATCCATTTTGAGCCAAGTATTTGAGGATGGCCTAGTTTGAAGTGTAGTCAAACAAGTTTATAACAGGAGAACAAGATTCAGAGGGAGGAAAACCCCTAAAGGACTATATGTGCAAAGGAAGGCCTCTTGTCCTTTGAAAAGAACAACTTAAACAGAAGTATTCTGACAATGTAAAGGTGTCGATTCCTGATAGATGTGTGTCAATTTTTTTCCTATTTGAAACAAAGCCATACACAGTTTCTTGGAGAATTAGAAAAAAAATTATTTTTCTCCGACTTGAGAGCATGTTTGTGTCTCAAAATACATTTAGACTTGATCCAATCTGTCCCTCTTCCCCAGTTCATCTCTAATAGATGTAAAATGCTCCCTACTGGTAATTATCTCCACCTTGCCTGACAGATAGCAACAGGCTGACCTGATAGTCTAATTTCACCTTTACCCTCATAGTACAAGAGGTCAGGGAAGTCAAGGCTGGTCTGAGTGCTATACAATCATCAGCAAAGATTAAACGGAATGACTCAGTCTTCCTTCGCACCTTACTCATTGCCCTTACCCTGGCAGCTGAATCTTCAAAAAACAGTGCCTTGGAGAGGAAATATAGGAGAAAGGAGAGAAGAGGAGAAGAGAAGGGAGGAGGGGAGGGGAGGGAAGGGGAGAGGCGAGGACAGGAGAGGAGACAAGAGGACAATAGCCCACGTTTTATATCACTTCATCTCATACACTGCACAGTGTCACAGATAATGTTCCTTTTTCCCTCCCTTGACATTACTGTTTTCTATTACAAAGGTTGATTTGGTTAAATAATTTAAGGGATTTCTTTATTTTTATTTTTAAAAAACCTTGTTTCAAACAAAGGTTTAGGATATAAGTTAATGTAAAAAGATTAGAACAATGCCCCGGAACAAGAATGTCATGTATATGACAGGAACTCTTAGCCTTCTGTATGATGGATGAACAGACAAAAGAGTGAATGAACAAGTGGTACTGCCCTAAGCAAAACACATGAATGTTGGGCTAATGTAACTGTGTTTTAGATTCTCAGATTTATACCATTTGTCTTAAAAAAAAATCCCAAAAACCTAGGATATGGTTTATAACATGAACACCGTATCTGTATAGCCTTGAGAAAAAGGCTATCTGAAGTTACACAGATGGGCTTTATAAACACACAGTGGTATCAATAGTTGCTGACTTCGATTTCTTTTCTAATTAATCTCACAGATTTGCAGATGAGAGGTACCTTCCAGGGCACTTCATCACCTATTCAGTTTCTTCATTTCATAGATGAGTAAAGAGAGGACCAGAAAGGTTCTGTGATTAGTCTAAACATACACAGTTAAGAAATGACAGAGCTAGGATCAGAACCTGGGTCTTTTAGCTTCTAATCCAGTACTCTTCTTATTGCACTATACCACAATTTACCAAAAAAAAAAAAAAAATTTCCCCCAGTTATTCTGGGCCCTGAAGTACTGAAGTTGCTATCTCAGTTTGATAAAGAGCTAACTAACTCTACTAAGTTTCTGATTCCAGCACAGAGAGAATGTGATGGTTCAGAAGATGAGAAATCAACACCTATAAGATCAGCATCTCTCACAAGTCTGGAAGGGTGAAATGAAAACCCTCTGGTTGCAACAGTCAAACAAATGAAACAGATTCCCCAGGCAATGGGCTAAATGGCCTGAATTTGCACATATGAAACAGGCTGTATTTTTGAACCCATGAAATACCAAAGCAACTTTTATTAAGTAGGGCTTTAGTTCAACCATAGGTTTAGGGCAACTGTAAATACTAGGGACTATCTCTCAAATTTTAGTTCTCTTAGACCAAAATGCATTGACAACTGGATTGAAATTAAGTCGCTTTACATTTTTTTCTTGCCCAGCTCTCCCTGTGATGTCCCTCCCCATATCAGCTTCAGCCATTTCTAGAGTCAAAACTTTCTCTGGACCAGCCTGGGCAACATAAAGAGATTCCATCTGTATAAAAAGTTTAAAAATTAGCTGAGCCTGGGGGTGTGTGCCCATAGTTCCAGCTACTTGGGAGGCTGGGTTAGGAGGATCTCTTGAGCCCAGGAGTTTGAGGTGTGATTGCACCACTGCATTCCAGCCTGGGCAGAAGTGTGAGACCCTGTCTAAAAAAAAAAAAAAAAAAAAAAAAACCACCAAATCAAAAACCCATTACTTTCCCCAAACTAAAATACACTCATGGCATAGAATAATGGTGCAAGCTTTCTTTTATACTCCAGTCAGAACCTCTTCGTATAAGTAAAGCCCAAAAGATATATGGGCAATGTTTGTAGACAACGTCTTAAACTCCCCATTTGTTTACTGTGCCTAAACTCTAAATGGAAGTCACTACATACTCCCCTGACATTTCTCACCGAGGGAAGGGAGGACAGCAAGGAGGAGGGGACCTCCCTAAACTGAAATACACCAACTTTACTCTGACGCAATTTATTCTTAAAGTGACTACAAGTGCAAAAATCTTTCAGTTAGTCAAAGTAAAATAAATAGGCAGAAATACCAAAGTAGGTAATTTTGAAATATATAAATTCTTTCAATATATCTCTATAATTCACATAGAACGTCTGCTTGTAAAAACATTATCTATACCATAATCAAATTTAGTCAGATTTAAAAACCAGGTAGGCATTTATTATCTATAAGAGCTATTGAGAAGAATAAATACAAAAGGACTGAAATAAAAAATCAACAGCTGGAAGCAGCTTTGGAAAAAGACTGAGACAGGTTTCTAAAATATTACTGATGTTGAGGGAGGTCTATTTTCATGTGATAATTATTTTTGTTCAATATCACCAACTTTCAATTTATAGCAAAACTGATACGTTCCATTTCAGCTATCTACTTCACAAATACAAATCTATTTTAAATATCATGGTCACATTTATGTAAATATCTGAGAGACTTCAGCAACATATCTCTGCCATTTGGAAGTCCTAACACTTTAATGAACATAATTATTTCATAGCCATCTTATTCTGCTGTATTTTTCGACAATGTGAAAACCAATGACATAAAAATTAACTCCAGTAAGACAAATGATTAAATCAAACCTTGTTATTTAAATCTATGTTTGCCCAACCGCTTTCCCTTAAAGCCAATTCTCAATCAAATTCAAGAAAATATGGCAATATGTTTTAGAGCATGGAAAAAGTTTGAGGATGCTAACGAACCAATTTGTAAAATATAATTACAAAAGATTACAAAAATGCTATCTTGAACATCTTACTGGTACAAATTGCATAAACTCTCTCATGCAACATATGTCATTCAGAGTAAAGAGGAAGGAACAGGATTTTAAACATCACATCCATTTAGGAAATTGGATATCAAATACTCCCATCTTCTGTCACGATGATGCTTTAGTTAATGTATTATATTCTATTTTCTAGAGCTATCAAAATGAACCACGAAGAATAAAAGTACACAATGAAAAACTAATTATTTTAACAGAGGTTAAGCTAGGAAGGGCCTTGTGTAGCAAGCATCCTATGTTATTTCATTTAAACTGTCTGCTAACAACAGCAGGAAAAAGGTTTGTATTCTTACCAATGAATTTCTGAGGCATTGAGCTTTTTCGTTTTGCCACATTGCTTGCTAATCTGTCCAGAACGAGAGCTCTTTCACTTCCCATCTCTGCTTTGATGTGTCTTGCCTCCGCACTTGCTGGTTTGGAAAAATATAAAAAGAAGAGGGAAAAGAAAACATTGGTACATGGGGAGAAAAGGAAATAAACTGGAAGGAGAAGTGTCCAAAGTTGGATGCACACTCTGCTGTTGTTACCTGTTATGACTGCTCAGATTCTTGCCTGGGGTACCTGCTGTGGTCAGTGAAGCCGACACCAGGGCACATTCAAATCTTGCAGTCTTATGCCGAAACGGGAAAGCTCGACCCATCCCCAACCAGTACATTCATTAGCAAGAGGAAGTATTAAATAAACAGCCTGGACGTGGTTGGTTGCAAAAAGACAGATAGATGGAGATCTTCTAACCCCTGATCAGCCTTCTTTCTGATTCTGAGTAACTGCGTGTGACACCTGCAGACTGAAATAATTCTTCTTAACAACTTTGAAAAAAAAGCATGGTGCCCCAGATTTACTGCTCTGTTTGTTAACAGCACTTTTGAAAATAGATACACTCACACAGATAGCAAGACATCTCCTCAGTGATTTGTGTATTGAAATTCTGAGTGGTTTCTTTCTTTTTCATTTTTTTCAGCACGCTCCTCTCAGTTCCTATCTTTCATATTCTCTTTCTCTGTGCTCTGCATTATCTGTTTCATATGCTCTTCACATTTCAAAGTAGTCTCAGTTATAATTTCCCTGAGCAACACTTCTGCCTTGAAATTAAAGAACAATTTGTATAACACATCTCTATTGAATTTCTAATAAAAATGTGAATAAAAACTGCCTATGAATGTGGGCTAACTACCCATCCACAAATAGACTTGTGAGTAGTGTAGGCCTGTGGTTCTCAGACCTGGCTGGACGTTAGAATCACCTGAAGAGCATGTATGAAATACCTAAGCCCAGGTCCCCCTTCAGATCAATTAAATCAGGATTTCTGGTAAGGGGCCTAGGCAAGAATATTTTCAAAGCTCCCCAGATGATTTTTAAATGCAGCCAGAATTGAGAACTACTAGAAGAGTATATAAATAGTGCCAATATCTAATCAACTAAAACAGTAAACTGTAATAAATATAATTTACCTCAATTCAGCAGGCACTGCCCAAATTTATGTCTAAAGTTCAAAGAGATACCAGCTGCTCTAAATATAAGGCTTGACATTTTAACACATGATGCTAGCCTGAGCCAGGGATCAGCAAGCTTATTCTGTAAAGGGCCAGACAGTAAATTAAAAAAAATTGCCAGACACATACAGTCCCTATCTTACATTCTTTGTCTTTTGTTTTGTTTTCTTTTGTTTTTCTGTCCCACAGCCTTTTAAAAATATAAAACCCCTGTACACAAACAGGCCACTAGCTGCATTTGCTCAGAGGACCACAGTTTGCCCACACCTGCCCTACGCAAATACATTGTGATGCTGTAAACATTTTTCTCTGTTTTCTCACAAATACTTCAGGAAATCCAAACTAAAATGAATTATCCATACATTTCAATTATGTCTATGGAAGAATAAATTGAAATTAGTTTAAGGGATTAGAGTAAAAAGCAAGTAGTGGCTGGCATGATGGCTCACCCCTGTAATCCCAGTGCTTTGGGAGACTGAGGCAGGAGGATTACTTGAGGCCAGGAGTTGAGACCAGCCTGGGCAACATAGCTAGATGCTACTTCTACAAAAAATAATTTTAAAAAATTGTCTAAGCATGCTGGCATGTGCCTGTAGTCCTAGCTACTTGGGAGACTGAGGTGGGAGGAATCCTTGAGCCCAGAGGTTTGAGGTTACAGTGAACTATTAATCATGCCACTGCACTCCAGCCTGAGTGACAGAGTGAGACTGTCTAAAAAAACAAAAATAAGCCCCAGAGTATTAAATATTTTTAATTTTATTAGTGTCATTAAAAAACTGTATGTTATAGTATGTCATTACACAATATATTATAAAGCTAAGTTTTTATTATTTAACTAATTTATTTACTTGTTTTTGAAACAGGGTCTCAACTGTCACCCAGGGTGGAGTGCAGTGGTGTGATCACTGCAGGCTCAACTTCCTGGGCTCAAGTGATCCTCCCACCTCAGCTTCCCAAGTAGCTAGGGCAACAGTCCAGAGCCACCATTTCCGGCTAATTAAAAAAATTATTAGTCTCAATATATTGCTCAGTCTGGTCTCCCAACTCCTGGCCTCAGGCAATCCTCCCACTTCAGCCTCCCAAAGTGTTGAGTTTATAAGCATGAGCCACTGCACCCAGCCAAAGTTCAGCTTTTTTTAAAAAAAAATCTGGAATAAAATGAAATCTGGCTCTGCCAGGTGTGGTGGCACCAGCCCATAGTCTCAGCTACTCAGGAGGCTGAGGTGAGGGGATAGCTTGAGGCCAGGAATTCAAGTTCAGCCTGGGCAACACAGTGAGATCTCATCTCTTAAAAGGAAAAAGAAATCCAACTCCAAAAATGAGAAAGAGAAGAGGATGATAAATAATGTGATAATAATGACAATATTTACTGGACTTGGTGAGTTTCTTGTCAAAAATAATTCTAGGCTCTAAAGAAATAAATCATAGCCTACACTGAAGCTATCAATTATTTGTGTAAAGGAAAACAGTAAGGGTCAGAATAAGGGGACTGAGTGGCTTTTGGGCTAGTGTGAAAGTACTTGATAGACTCTGGCTGACCAACAGTTGTAAATAACGGGCACTTCAACCACAGGACAACTATTGAGTGAAGCGGGTCAAATTCTGTCCAGTACAGGGATAGGTTTCAATGACCAAACAGGAAATCATTTATATTTATTATTTCCTTTCACACAAACCACCACCAGATGTGGCAGTACCCAAAGCCCCAAGAACACAGAGATGAAAGACAAAGCTTGGAATTTGCAGTAAGTTCCTGGGGCTGTTAGAAGGAGACTTTTATCTTGGAATCATGGGAGAGGTAGCTAAGTTTGTGCTTTGACTAGGAACATTCATCCTAGTTCCAACAACTTCTTCTTTGAGAAGATTAAATCTAAGTAAGCCTCCCCTCAACCCTGTAGTTATTAACAAAAAGATTCATAATGAAAAAAGAATCAAAAACAGTACTCAGGGAATGTTTATGTTTTATGCCCATTTTACCACTGTTCTTAGTCTCTTGTGGTCCGTCCTCTCACTGCCAAATCATTACCCAGGAATTACCCAAGCACGGTGCTGCCCGTCTAGTTTTCCCATTTGTTTCTCAGCAGTTACTGTCTACATTTTACCAATCTCAGTTACAACAAGCAGCTTTCTGAAGACACGTAATCAACATCCTCTCCATTTGTGAGGATGCTGAAATGTGGACACATTGACCTAAATAACTGTAATTAGGGCAGGTCACTGAATGGCAACCTTTTGAGATAACATCACCTTTTATTCCATGTTACCCACCAAACTGGTCTTGAGAGTCATTTCCAGGTAAACATTATTACTCTGTAAATCAGTGACCAAATACCTGGCATTTAACATAAAATTCTGCACTGTTCATGGATGGACATATTTTGAGGCATGGATGGAGACTTCTCCATTTCCACAACTCTGATTAGATTGAAAGAAATTCTCTGAAACGAATCTAGAGGACTCCTGTTCACTCACACCCTCTTTCTGGATCATTCACTCAAAATATTAACTACAAGATCTTAACCTTCATTGTACATGTGAACACTCTAGTGATTCAGTTGATCTTCACTGAGTTAACCTTGTTTTCTAGTTGATAAGTCAGGCAAAGGCTAATTTTCAACTGAAGATAGTACTCTTATTTTCTTTCCTAAACTGCTAGCCTTTGCCTCACACTTGTTGGACAGCTGACGCACAATACCATGAAATGAGCACCCTTTAAGACACAAAGAGCCAGGTGCCATGGCTTGCGCCTGTAATCCAGCACTTTGGGAGGCTGAGGTGGGAGGATCGCTTGAGCCCAGGGAGCTATGATCTTGCCACCCGCCCTCCAGTGTGAGGAACAGAGTGAGCCCTGTCTATAAACAACAATAACACACACATCACACATACACAAAAAAATGCTTTGTAACTGGACAAGCTCTTTGGGATTACTGAGTGGTTTAGGCAGTGTACTGAGAAGAAAAAAAAAAGAGGACTATTGGCTTTTGGTCCTTTTCTTCAACTTTAGGACCCAACTGTCTATTTATACAAACAGTCTAGACTTGTTATCTTGCCACATCACGTCTCAGAAATATAAGTGGAGAGAAACCAGTTTGGCAAGATAGTAAGGGAACAAGATAATGGGTTTAAATGACGAAATAGGAAATCCGTTCCTGGGTGGTGTTTGGCTGTTTAATGCTGCAAGGGGTGGGTGTGGGGAATATGTGATGGTGGCAAGGAACAATTTGCACATTCGGTTCATGAGTGAGAGTAGAATGAGTACGACAGTCATCGTGGATCAATTTCCCTTCATATTGCTTGCTTGCTAAATAGTAGATATACTAATTTTCATTAGAAAAGTTATGTTAAAGATGTGCTGAAAAAATAAATAATAAAATGTAGTACAAAGTCACAATTACAGAATAGGTTACCTTTATTCCCTGTAGAAGCCTTAATATTTGGTTTTAGTTAACTGTTTCCACGATACAATTTCTATCTCAAAGTCACTGAAGGTTTAACTATGTAATTGTGCTGTTCTTTTGTTTTTGTTCAAAATCCTTCATTAGATCTTGAAGTGTTAAGTGGAGCTTAAATAAGAGCTGTTGCTTCCTGTCTCTTCTATGGTGTGGTCAGTCAGCTAATGGAGAGGGGAGCAAAGTGGTGCTATTATGCAATAGGAATTGTCTAACAAGAGATTGCTATCAAAGATAGAGGCAGGTTCTAACAAAAAAGTTACATAAAACTGTTGCCTTTTTGAACCAGTAAAATGAATATACTACCTGTGAGCTAGTATTAGTTTCTAAAAAGAATAGGTTAGAGCAGTAGCTCACACCTGTAATCCCAGCACTTTGGGAGGCCAAGGTCGGGGGTGGGGGTGGGATACACCTGAGGTCAGGAGTTCGAGACTAGTCTGGCTAACATAGTGAAAACCTGCCTCTACTGAAAATACAAAAATTAGAGGGGCGTGGTGGTGGGCGCCTGTAATCCCAGCTATTCAGGAGACTGAGGCAGGAGCATTGGTTAAACTCAGAATGCAAAGGTTGCAGTGAGCCAAGATGGCATCACTGCACTCCAGCCTGGGTGACAAAGCAAGACTCCACCTCAAAAAAAAAGAATAGGTTGGGAAACAAAGTTAAAAAATTTTAAACATTTTCTTTGGTCTGCTAAGTTGGTAAAAATATAAGTTTATTCTGAAACCTTCATGCTTATATTAGCTTGAAGAGCTATTGAAGATGAAAGGTTTAGTATCCTAGATTCATAAATTATTCAATTACTTAAAAATATTATTATTGCTAGAACTCATTGTTACACAAAAATATTTCCTGCTCCAAGTATTCATAATTTGTGTGAAATGAGGCTAAATGAATCTCTATACCAGCTGTTAGTCTCTTTCTGAAATAAGAATCAAACTAATGAGAAAATGAAGTCCATGATCTTCTGTATTTTTTCTTCTTTTCATATATATACTCCATTAAGACAGAATTGGAATATTTTGATGGTGTCACTTGTGATGTCTGGTGTAGAAACTTGGACTAAGTAGCAATATCACTTTATTAGACCCCTGCATTATCTTAATAGATCAAGCATCTGGTTGGTGGTTGGAATGTACATTTTTTTTTTTTTTTTTTTTGAGACGGAGCCTTGCTCTGTCACCAGGCTAGAGTGCAGTGGAGATCTTGGCTCACTGCAACCTCTGCCTCCTGGGTTCAAGTGATTCTCCTGCCTCAGCCTCCCAAAGTAGCTGGGACTCCAGGTGCCTGCCACCATGCCCGGCTAATTTTTGTATTTTTAGTAGAGACAGAGTTTTACCATGTTGGCCAGGATGGTCTCCATGTCTTGACCTAATGATCTGCTAACCTCGGTCTCTCAAAGTGCTGGGATTACAGGCGTGAGCCACCGTGCCCAGCCAGACTGTAAATTCTTAAAGTATAGGGGCTTGACCTTAACTCGTCTTATAAACAGCTTTGATATGGGCCTGGCACATAGAGAACTCAACAAATGCTATCTGGATAAAAGAAATGATCAGCAAGGCCAGAAGTCCTGTTGCCCAACACCTGTATTTTTTTGCAGGCTGGTCTTCACTCCAAGGCCTTTTTATCCATCTGCTTGCTTCCAAGAAGTCCTGCTTCCCCATGCAGGCAGGTTTGTCCACAGGCTTGGCTCTCACACTATACTGCACTTTGATTTACGATAAGCATTTGAGGAATGAGTGCTGTAGGCACAACAGCAATAGAGCATCATCTCTTTACAAGTGAGGGATGAAGGCATAAGATGCACTATACTGGCTAGGCTCAGAATGGAACCCCATGTCCATACTGGACTCCCAATTTTAAGAAGAAAACAAATGGAAATCATACATGGAAGGGTACAAAATAGTTAAAGAATTGGCTTATGTTGGATTAAATATTCTGTAAATTTTGGCCTCAGGAAAAATTATAAAAACTATCTGAAACATAAAAGATAGACTAACATATGGACTGAGATGCAGTAACTTGATTAAGCTGTAACTTTACACATTTATAACCTGAAACCACCATTACAACATATTTGTTCGAAAAAAAAAATCAAAACTTGCTGACTTAGTTAACCCTTTATCTTTTTTTGCTGAGACTTAAAGTACGGTGCACGAATCCACCAAACCACCCTGTGAAATGCAAATTAACCCAACCTCTGTATTTCAGCATTTCCTGAATCACTTAATACCACCGAAGATAGCTAAAATATTACTTTTGATATTTTCCTTACTTGAAATTCCTAAAAAAGATTGTGAGAATGGGAAGTAAGGTAGTGGCCTTACTTCAAAATCTGTAATTTTGAACTTACTGTTTACAGAGTATAGTTTTCTGATCTTCTCCCCTCCTTCCAGAAGAATCAGGACACACATATATGCATATATGTGTGTGTCTATTAGTATGTGTGTTACTATATTTCTTTTGCAAGCCAGATAATATATGACCTTTAAGAAATATAGCTAATCAAGGTCAAAAGTGGAAAAGGTGTAAAAGACCCAAATGTCCATTAACTGATGAATGGATAAATAGAAAGTGGCAAATCCAAACAATGGAATATTATCTAGCCGTAAAAAGAAATGAAGTACTGATAAATGCTTCAGCATATAAAAATGCCTCAAAAACATTATGGTAAGTAAAAGAAGCCAACACAAAAGGCCACATATTGTATGATTCCATTTATGTGAAATGTCCATACAGGCAAATCCATATAGACAGAAAGTAGACTGGTGGCTGCCAGGAGCTAGAGGGAGGAGGAATAGGGAGTGACTGCTAATGGGCACAGCACTGCTTTTGCTAGTGGTGATAATGTTCTGAAATTAGATAGTGGTGATGGTTGTACAACTTTGGGAATATACTAAAACTATTGAAATGTGCACTTTAAAAAGGTAAATTTTATAGTATGTATCTCAAATTTTTAAAAATTAAAAACTATGACTAATTGTGGCTGGGCGTAGTGATTCACGCCTGTAATCCCAGCACTTTGGGAGGCTGAGACTGGTGGATCACCTGAGGTTGGGAGTTTGAGATGAGCCTGACCAATATGGAGAAGCCCTGTCTCTACTAAAAATACAAAAAATTAGCTGTGTGTGGTGGTGCATGCCTGTAATCCCAGCTACTTGGGAGGCTGAGGCAGGAGAATTGCTTGAACCTGGGAGATGGAGGTTGCGATGAACTGAGATTGCATCATTGCACTCCAGCCTGGGCAACAAGAGCAAAACTCTGTCTCAAAAAAAAAAAATACTAGTCACAAAATTCTGGTGAATTTTAAGTAAGTCACTGAATTTTAGGTGAGTCTGTCTTGTCACCTCTGAAATGAAGAGGTAGGGTCAGATGCTCTCTTTCATTTTAGCTTTAAATATTAGTAATTAATTCTACTTGGAATATGACAGATTTTCAGAGCTTGGGGATCTCTCACAATAAGAGCTTTGCCTATTGTCTGAAATACAGAACGGCAAGTAAAGATGCCTACATTTTATTCTTGAACAAGTACTGCCTGACTCCCATGAAGTAGGTCACTTAAGATGTCAAAACCTTTCCTAGCAAGCAGACTCAGATAAAACAAAACAAAACAAAGAGAAGAAGATGTCAAAGCCCAAATATTAGGTTTGTTTTTCTTTTTATTTTATTAATTAATTTTTTTTAGAGATGGGGGTCTCACTGTGTTGCCCAGGCTGGGCTTGAGCTCCTGGGCTCAAATAATCCTCTTGCCTCAGCCTCCTTAGTAGCTAAGACAACAGGTGTGTGCCACTTTGTCTGGCCTGTTTTTTTTTTTTTTTTTTTTATAAGGGAGTAAACACTTCTTTTTACTTGGATATGCTTTATCCAAATAAGTTGGATTTTTTTTTTTTATCAAGTTAGAAATCCAACTCCTTGATAAAATCAGAGATACCATTAGGATAAAAAGCAGAAGCAGTGCAAACCAACAGAATTCAGTTGGCCAGCTCCTAACATCATACAATACGTTTTATCTAAAACACAAGTTTTCTCTTATGCAAAATGAGGGCAGTTTAGTCATTTCTACTCTATTTTTCCTGAGTTTCATGTTATTTCCATCATATTTTTTTTAATCTTTCTGCTTTAGGCTATTCAAACTACTCAACTTCAACAATTGCTGTCAAACACTAAATTCCATGAGGATTTGTACCTATTCTAAGTAAGCAAGTGGTACAAGTCACCAAATAAAAATGTCAGACAACCCAAACTGCAGAACCAGGCTGATAGCCAACTCCATGGGACAAAGGACAGCTGCAGAGATGTGACACAAAGTTTCAGGCTGTTTCAACTAAAGAATGAAAAAAAAAAAAAACACAACTGAGATATAGAAGAACATCGAGTGGTGCCAGTAGGTATCTAATTCAAATCACTGAATAAAACAAGAAATCCCCAAAGCCAAATGGAAGCATCACAATAAATAATATGAATAGACAAGGATATAAATTGGGGCCTGTGCAAAGAAAATTCTTGTAGTTTTCATTGACTCTTCCCTAGCCACTCCCCAACCTCTTCTACTCTCAGTCTTTGCCATTCTATAAATAGTAACTCCATTCTTCATCAATCTGTTAGAAAATCTTGTTGACTCTACCTTTAAATATATAGAGATTTAGAATACTTCCCACCACCTCTACTACTAACAAGATACAATTTTCTCTTGCTTGAACTATTGCAATGACCTCTTAACTGGACCCTCCCCACCAATTTCCAACCTTGCCCCAAATACAATCTCTTCTCAAAAGCAAGTAGACAGATTCTTTCAAATGAGAAGGCCAATGATGTCACCTCTTTATACAAAACCCTCTAAAGATTTTCAGTTTCACTCAGGTTAAAAGCCAAAGCCTTTACAATGGCCTGCAAGGCCTGATGAGATCTGGTTTCCCATTTCCTCTCTGGCTTCAGGTCCCATTACTCACTGTGCTCCAGCCACACAGGACTATGTACACTTCTTCAAATTTGTGCCCCAGGACCTTTGCTCTTGCTGTTCCCTAGTTACTTGCCAGGCTCACTCATCTGGTTAAAAAGCCTGTTAAAATGTCACCTCACTGAAGCCTTCCCTGATCCTCACCCTCACTCCTCAGTAACTTACCACCCTCAATGGCACTTACCACCCTCTAACCTTCCCACATACAGTCTGCTCATTTACTTTCTTTATAATCTATCTGCCCTCAGCAAAATAGAAACTCCACAAATCTTTTTACTTCCTACTGTATCCCACTACCCAGGACAGCAGATGCTTACTAAACGTGTGTTGCATGAACTCACCAGTGTCCCCTGGGTCAGTGCTCTGAAGAAATGTCCGGCAGCGCTCCTTGTGCTCCTCAAGGGAACTTCTCTGCTTGTAACTCCTTCCACAAAACTCACATTTGTAGGGTTTCTCCACTAGAAGGAGAACATAAGGGGCACTCAATGACCCTCAGGGGTTCCATACAGGCCGGGTATTGGGGCTCTGTGATAACTGTTCATTAGAAATGAGACTGCTGAGTGAAGCCAGAGTATTTAAATACTTTCAAATCTATATTTTAAATTTGGTAAGCTTAAATAAGGTTATGGTCTATGATTAATTATTATGTCAGAGTATTCTTCAAAAGGATTGCCTCCTATCACAAATGAAAGAATTTGGATTTAGTGATTACCACTTAGCATAGTGTTTTTGATCCAGGTCACATCTTATTTCTTTAGGAAAAAGAAAATAGGGCCCTTTTATGCTTTAACGAGGTTAATGTAGTATAAGCAATGAAATAGGAAAGGATTCCTTATTTTGGACATCTACTTGGGAGTTAGCCATTTGCCTAGAAACTGATGGCCTTTTCAGAACATTGACATATTTGAATAAATTTAGCTCATCCTTGCCAAGTGGCTATAGCAAAGTCTAGGCTACAATAAAAACTGAGCTAATTAATTAAGGATTTTTTCGTTTTTGAGATGAGGTCTCACTCCATCACTCATGCTGGAGTGCAGTGGCACAATCACAGCTTGCTGCAGCCCCAACTTCACAGGCTCAGGTGATTCTCCCATCTTAGACTCCCAAAGTGAGAAGATTACAGGTGTGAGCCTTTGCACCTGGCCAGGATATTTTTGAATAATAGAAATAAATATGCTCTGGGTGCAGTGGCTCACACTTGTAATCCCAGCACTTTGGGAAGCCAAGTAGGGCGGATCACCCGAGGTCAGGAGTTCGAGACCAGCCTGCCCATTGTGGCGCAACCCTATCTCTACTGAAAATACAAAAATTAGTTGGGAGTTGTGGTGGGCACCTATAATCCCAGCTACTAGGAAGGTTGAGGCAGGAGAATCACTTGAACCTAGGAGGCGGAGGTTGCAGTGAGCCAAGGTCGTGCCACTGGACTCCAGCCTGGGTGACAGAGCAAGACTCTGTCTCAAAAATAAAAATGAATTGTAAAAATGACTTCATCTAAATGTCTAAAATGAAGGAAAAGTTTCACCCATACAATTCAGGCAACCTTATTCTGCCAACTCCCCAAATGCTTTATTGCTTGAAATGTGTAAGTAATAACTTCAACTATTTGTTCAAGGCTGGTCTTTCTGATTGTTGATAAAATATACTCAATACATTTGTCAGTTTTATGGGCTAAAATTTTTATTTTTGAACTCCTCTTGTTCTGTTTAAAACAGAGGCTTTGGGATTTAAAGCACTAAAAGATCCTTATGGAATCCTAAATTAAATGCAGGTTTGCTAGGACTAAAAATGTTAAGTTTCTGCATAAATTGGGTCCTCTAGAATCTGTCTTTAAAATGCCTGCTATTGTTTCTTACTTGAAAAAGGCAACAGTAGAGAACTATTCTAATTTTTTCGAACCAAACTCATCCTTAATTCATTACTTTGAAAAATGAGCTATAAAAGAAAATTGGCTTCATTTGCCAATTATGATCTTCCATGGTGGGTTTTGTTGGGGTTGATTTGCTTAATCCTAGTGGCTGAATTATAACAAGTTTCAGGTTTGGGGCTAGGTTTTGGTCAAAGCAGTAGATGTGAACTGACATAAAAACAAACCTTTTTTTCCAATTAAAATTTTGCCAGATAACATCAAGAACATGAGGTCCCAAATTTGAAAATAAACTCAGTCTTATTTTTCTAGGAAGGAAATTCTCAATCTTGAAAAAAGAAAGTATTATCTTGGTCAAAATAAAGAGTAAAAACATCAAGACAGCACATAGCTTTTTATGAATCCTTACTGCTGTTCATCTTTTAGAGATTTAAAATAAGTAGGTTGGCTGGGCATGGCAGCTCATGCCTGTAATCCCAGCACTTTGGGAGGTCAAAGTGGGAGCATTGCGTGAGCTCAGGAGTTTGAGACCAGCCTGAGCAACATAAGGAGACCTCATGTCTATTAAAACAAACAAACAAAAAAAAAGTGGGCTGATCAAGAGGAAAGTTGGATTTAAGAAATTTATCCCTAATGGCCAAAAAGTAGCCCCCAAACAATGATTTATGTCTAGATTAGCTTTTCATAATTTACAAAATTGTACATCATTTGCTTGTCTTTTGAATGGAAAGAGTGTGCGTGCGTGTGTGTGTGTGTATGTGTGTGTTAGGAAAATAATCTTTTAATAAAGTTTACCCGAAGAAAATACTGATGGCTATAATTTTCTCACAAAAATTAAAAAGACATTTTTATAGGGTGGGCTCTTCCTATCTGACTGTGGTGTTCTCTAGGGGTGCAAGGATGGTGAGGAGATGATCATCTCCACTGAGGCAGATGGAGAACAATTAATGCCTTAATGGTAGTGTAATTAGCCCTAGAGGTCTCTGCTGTTGTAACCCTTCAGAACAAGAATGACAGATTGAAACCATACTTAACTCTTTCTAGCTTCCACATGGGCTCTGAGGAATGCAGTTACTAGACATGGAATGCTCATTCTCTCACTTACCAGAATGTGTCCTAAGATGCCCAGTGAGCGCATCTCTTCTTTGGCATGCATAGTTGCAGAGGTGACACTTAAAAGGTTTTTCCCCTGTGTGCAGTTTAATGTGGCGGAGGAGGTTACCTTTCTGAGTAAAAGATGCCCCACACTGATTACATTGGAATGGGCGTTCACCTTTAAAAAGGACAAAAAAGGAGATTTCTGATCACAGGCAAGTGGAAAAGGATATGCAGAGATTAGATGCCTAGGGCCAAAGCTCATCTTTTAAACAGTTATTGTTCATATTGGGATCAGTTGGGAGCTGCATTTCAAGGCAATCATAAGACTTACTTATGAAATCTCCTCTCTAGAAGAGAAAACACACCTACCTAGCAAGGCTATTTTAGGTATCATATTGAATCAGAGCAAAGAAACAAGAGTAGCTCCAGAAGTGCTTTCTAGATGCAATTTTTTTCTTCCCCTCCCCCCGAGATTGAGTCTTGCTCTGTCCCCCAGTCTGAGGTGCCGTGGCACCATCTTGGCTCACTGCAACCTCTGCCTCCCAGATTCAAGTGATTCTCCTGCCTCAGCCTCCCAAGTAGCTAGAATTACAGGCATGCACCACTGTGCCCGGCTAATTTTGTAATCTTAGTAGAGATGGGGTTTCACCATGTTGGCCAGGATGGTCTCAAACTCTTGACCTCATGGTCCACCTGCCTCGGTCTCCCAGAGTGCTGGGATTACAGGTCTGAGCCATTGTGCCTGGCCCTAGATGTAAGTTTTTATATTACTTGGTATTCCTTTTTTTTTGAGACAGGGTCTTCTTGCTCAGGCTAGAGTGCAGTGGTGAAGAGGCTCACTGAATCCTCAACCTCCTGAGTTCAAGTGAGCCTCTCACCACAGCCTCTAGGATAGCTGGGACTACAAGTGTTTGCCATCATGCCTGGCTAGTTTTTTAGTATTCCTTTTGAATATAATCTCCTTTGAAAAAAGAGTCACAAACTAAAGTCCTAACAAGGCGTTGAGGGCTAGAAATTCTCCTTTTTAAAGTCTTCATATGAGATGTGGGATGGAATGTACTGGCTCAGGTGTGATGCTTGCATTTGTCTGCATTTCTATAGACTGCCCATTTATTGTCTGAAGATAAATTCCTTTAAACCAGAAATAAAAACTATATCCTTTCATTTACCAAATTTGAACCCAATACGATAAGAAGATCTGCTCTTATTAACAATGTTATGCAAAAATATGTGAAAGATGGCTAAGAAGCAAATCACACAATTCAACTCCTACTTAGAAACTGAAGAAAAAGTTTTTGGCTGACCTAGAACACTGTGCTCTCTACAGTCTTTTTTTATTCATAGCATTTGCAATATGTTTGCCAAATGCATGGCAAGGCAGGGATAAAAAGCACCGAGTTAATGGCAATGCAGAGAGAAAGAGATACATCAGCATTACAGCAAAAATCAATGAAAGTAACCAAAAGTTCCAAATTCCACCACTTCATTTCTCACATGGCTGCATTAGGACAGTTTTCGGAAGAATGCAAAAAGCAGACTATTTACCAGTATGGCTTCGCTTATGAACCATTAAGACATTGAAGCTGATGCAGGATAATCCACACACATCGCAGTTCATCTTTCCACTGGTTGGCCTGCTACTATCAAATGAGACAACATGTCTCTCCAACTTAATGTTTTCATATTCATTATATTCTCTTGAATAGCTATAAGGGATTTCAGGCTCTTCTGCATTTCCCATGGGCTCTGGCTTTAAAACATTCTCATCTCTTTCACTGTATTCATCTTTCACTTTCATTGAATCATCTGCAGGGAAAAAAATGCAAGAAATGAACAATGACTATACTTGAAGCTATCAAAGCAGCTCAAACAGCAGAGACCCACAACTGACAATTAAATACCAAATGAAGCTAACAAAACACTGTACATCTACAAAACAAGAAAGCACCATTAGCATGAGCGCACATTATTTAAATTCAGAACCACAGTCAGAGGAAAACACACATACTTACACACATAAAAACAGGCGATAGTGTTTTATGCTATCCAGAAAAATACAGATAATAGATTTTAGCTGTCTGCTCAAAGTGGCCATGAAACAAACATTGAGCAACTCTTCTCCATTACTAGGGGAGAGGACGGGTTCTCAGACCCAGTACTTTTTTTGGTGGCTGCAGTTAAAAAGGCAAGGTGATGTAATCTTAAGTTTCAAGGAGAAAATATTGTTTGAATCCTTCAAACGCATCCAGTGTAAGCCATTAAGATTAAGAGTTAAATAGTTAATGTAGTTTTTCTAATTTTAAGCCATGCTTTGCCTCTTCCTCTTCCACGTATATGAATTGCTAAAAC